GTGGAAGGGGATTTCATTATAACGGTAATCAGGAAGGGACTGTTGTATACGACAGATGAATTCTTTAACACGCCCTTTCCCTCACTGTTGTAATGAGGGAGATCTTGGGTGCGTAGTAAAAACATGCTACCGTGGTCCTTAAAGGACTTGCAGGGACTTAAGACTCTGTCTACGATATGTTTTCGTACAAACATACAAAATGTCTTTGACCTTCTGCACAGTGTTGTCTCAGCAGTTTGATGGAGTGAGTCTCATTGAGTCCGATGTGAGGATTTGGAAGTATGAAAAGCATAAGATAGGCACAGAAAGTACGTTTTCAGCGATTTCAAGCTGTTAAGGATGCATTGGACGACGTGCCATTTTAAAGCGACTCCGTTGGGTTAAGGTGGCTTATAGTTCCAAGTTTGACCTCCGTCATCAAATGTTCCCGTCTAACTAACGCTCAGTAGCTAGCTCGTAGCCGAAGTAGCGCAAATCAAAACCAATCAGGTAAAAGTAGCTAGACTGTGTTCTAAGCCAGCGCGTTTAAAACAACGCATCGACCATGGGTTTTAGATTGGCTCGATCGATGAGTGGTTGACCGGCATACGGACACTCGCTTGGAATTGTGGCCAGCCAATAGCAGGCAGACAACAGCAATGACCACGAAGACGTCCGCCATCAACCAAACGCCTTGGCCCAAAGTTAACAATAATGAGCTGCTTGGATGCCACCCCACTTTCGGACGACTGATCGTTTGTCAATCAGGTATCAAAAGCCTTTAAGACGCCTAACTGCGCCGTTTGCAGTCAACCTGCCGAGCTCAGCGAACAATCAGCCAATCAACTAAACAACCTGAGCTACCAACATTTGCTTCTATATCGCCGCTTATTACGTAACAGGAATACGCCAGAGCGCCACAAGGACTCTTTTTTGTCATGTGCCTAGCACTGGATACCGCAAGTTCATCTGCACCTTGGCAGACTCGGATTGGCGACTTTTGGAGTAGTTACAAGGAGGACGGCTCATCCCTTCGGTCAGCGGTCGAGATGTAGTAGGTAAGTCGTCGTGTCACAGTTCCAATTGCGATAGAAATCACTTACAATGAGAAGACCATTGATCAGCACCCCGATCAGCGAGTTGGGGGAATGAAATGGCCCGTCAAACGCCTTGTAAGTTCGGCAGTGTCCTAGTCGCATGCAAGTTGGATAAAAAGTATTTAAATGTGCAAATCCACCGAGAAAGTAGAGAGTGTGAAAAGCACTGGGTTACGTTCAATAAGTTGTGCCGAAGAAGGTGAAAAATTGAGTTTAAGGCACTGCATGATTCATCGAAAAAAGTCCGAAGAAGCTATGCGCGAGTGTGGCTACTAAAAAAGAAAAGTGCTTGGAATGGCTTAAAACCTAAGCGTTAAGGTAGGTAGGACAGACAAAAACAGAGAGAATGGAAGCACCCTTACCGATGATGAATTGGAGATCAGAAGTGCCAAACTCAGCTTGCAAAGCTTCGATGAATTTCTCTCGAATATGGAATTTCTGTGGCAATGGGAAAAACATGTGGGTCGAATAAAAATGGATCACGAGAAACGTAGAAGCCATCATAAGTGTTTCTGTATGAAGTGGCGTGTGCAATCCACGAATCCAAAGCAATGATGACAGCGAGAGGAGCAGTTTCGTAAATTAGGAAGAAAGCAACAATGGTTATCGTTTTCAAAAGTTTAATAAATCCTAACCAATGCTAAGATTCCAAGGGACAAGGCAGACGGACATACCTATGTGTTAACGTGAATAATATGGTGAGTTCACAGTGTTTTCATCTTTGTGTAACTTCATCATCATCATCATCATCATCATCATCATCATCATCATCATCATCATCATCATCATCATCAATCATCATCATCATCATCATCATCATCATCATCATCATCATCATCATCATCATCATCATCATCATCATCATCATCATCATCATCATCATCATCATCATCATCAACAACAACAACAACAACAACAACAACGGTACATAGGCCATTCAAATTGATGCGAGCTGCCTTAAAACTACAGTGACCTAAGGAAGCATAATCAGGAGAAAAAGCGGACGCACTAAGCATCATGCACCATCTTTACACATGTCAGCTAGAGGTGACAGAGCCCTCAAAGCAAAGATTTTAGGTCAAGTGCTTGCATTTGTCGACAACATTCCGTCATAAACAGCTGGTTATCGGGTGAAGATGACGCGGCATGAATGAGACAGCTTCCCTGCGGCTTTCACTGTCCCGCATCATAATCCACATCAAACACGATGTAAACAGACAGTTGAGTTAGTAGACTACTGTAAACGCACCACTGGTGCCGACTGCGAGCCATATCCTGTAAAGTCTCGAGCCAAAGACGAAGCGGGTCGCTTGGACTCCAGTCTGGAATGCGAAATAGACTAATGGTATCCAGTTTTGTCATCAGTGACTTCAATCCATTCTTCCAGCTTAACTTTTGCCCATCTCGAACCTTGAGCTCCCAAAAAGGAAACAAGTAACACAAGGATATCATGAGGGATGGTGACCGGGCGTTTGCAGCAAGTGCCCAAGCCAATGCGAACATGAACATTGTGTTGCGATAAGGGACCGGCCTGATCCGCACCGAGTAACACACACCTGCACACATCATTAGTGTGGACGTCAGTGTGTTGCTTCCAGATAACAGCGATCGAACGTGAGCTGGAATACTGCGAGATCACCGGCACAAAACAGTGACGCGTAGTGGAAGCAAGCCATGGTGCCGTTAATGGAAAAGAACACCGTCGAACAAGCCTTTCGCATTAACACCAATGCACTTTATCTGTACAACCATGATCCAGTTGCCAGAATCATGTTACCAGGGTGATGATAAATAACAACTGAGAACTTTGATGTCGCTTTAACCCATCCCTACACTCCACGACGCGTTTCGTCCTTGTTTGGACTCATCAGGTAGAGACAGCCTGAGCTGGGAGGGGAATTTGACATTTAGTGATTGGCGGCTATCGCCATAATCACTAGACCAATGAGCTCCGCGAGCGGCGCTTGATGCAACGGTTGAAAAAGGAGTTAGTACGCACAGACGTTATAAAAGCAGTATTGGATCCTAGGCTTACATTGGTGCCTCGGTGTCATACAGTCACAAATGAGCGAAGGAAGAACTGGTATAGGGCTTAAACCCATTGAGTGAACCTTCGACTCAGGACGAATAGACACTGTTAACACCACACAGTAGGAAAATGGTTATCACGTGCATATAAAGCGGTTCCATTGAGACGGCGTTCATTTGGTTTACATCCACACAGCACTCAAGAATTGCCGGCCGGTGGCCCGAAGGCGCCTGCCTTGTAATCCGAAGGTTACCAATGCGAATTTGCGAAGGTGCGGGCCACCTCGCAGTATTGCCGAACCAAGCGCGACTGTTAGTTGTCGCTTTGCAGCGAAGCATCGGTACGACCTACTGCGGATACTGTACACATCACAAACAAATAGTCCGGTTTGGAGACGACATCAAACATGTGTATAGTTCAAAATGCGCATCGTATTCAGTTTTTTTTGTCTGACAGAGGGGAGGTAGCAAGTGCTCTAGCTTCTTTACCCGCCCTCAGATCGATGGTTGCCATCTCTTAAGCCTAGGTCATCTGGTTACAGGTAAACAAGTCCACCCCCGGTAAGTGATGAGTGGGCATACATAGCATGTACTCGAGCAAAAGCAACTTATCCATCTTAGCTTCAGAATCCCATGGACCAGTTTGATGATCTCACGTCCGTGGATATGGTGGCAGTACTGAGATGAATGCAATAGTTCGTAGACACTAATGTTCAAAGACCTGAGGATGTCATAAAAACTCCAGACCGAACGAGTGAAGTTTTACTTGTGGCACAGTAGCTAAGGTGTTTAATGTTGATGATGTTGTACTATCATAAAGAATGACCCTCAGTGACTCCGCACGTACGACACGTAGCAACAACGAGAATCATGTACTGGCACCCGAGTCTTAGTAGACTCGTGAAAACCGTTCTGGACTAAGCAATATGTAAGCCCGTTCACGCGTCCGTTGTAGCTAATGCAGATGTTAGGATAAACGAGTTAAACAACTGCTTCTAGTTCCTCGTTGTAAAGATTCAAAGGAAAATACAAACAAATAGTCCCACGAATGCCATTTGCATTATGAAGGCGAAAAGCGCACATCGAACGATGGAACAACGTTAGCGCCATACCCAGGCTGACTGTGCCTCCCAGCGGCTGTGAAATAGTAAGACGTTGCTTGCACAAACCGAATTAAGCAATTTCTACCACGAGGACCTCAACATCTTTATCATAAGATGCACCAGTGGAACAGGTCATTGTGGAGTGCAGCGCGAGATAAGCGAAAAGCGGGCGCAAAAATGAATTCACGAGATAGCCGATGGATTCCATGACGGATGGGCATTAATATAGTGAGAAAGAAGCCCAACCGGTATGTTGATTAGGTACACTAACTGGACAATGATTGGGTAGTAGACTTTTCACCCCCGACGGTGTCACCTCCAATCTGTTTACCATGGCGCAGTGAACATAACAGCTCGTCGATTCAAGCAATATCTTAACAACTAAACTAGGCAACTAGCAGTTTGAACTGTTGCCAGAATCTTAGTCCGTCTGGCGCATGTCACCCGTCTGGATAGACGGATGCGCCGCAGTAGTGTGGTTAACTTTCTCATTCGACGACTACGATGTATCTAGGTGTTACAGAGCGTTTGGCCTCCATTCTTGCTTGCATGCAACTTCCTTTTGAGAACGCTTTGACGATTTCATCCTCGTAACCTTGTAACATCATGGTAACACCAGTAGTGACAAGTAAACCTACTCTGCTTCGGCACCGGAAGCATAGTTAAACAACCTGAAACCATTGCGTAACAAGGAATAGCCGTTTCGTAGTAACCATGGTGCTGCCGCCCACTGTGCCATTAAAAAACAACATGTACAATTCCATAAGTGGATGATCAAAACAATAAACAGTACCTGGTCGAAATTATAAAATTCCCTGCGTTCAGCTTCAGAACAGCTTCTGCCAACAGGGGAAACATTGATCAATCCATTGCGGAATTCAATAAAGGTGCCACGTTTTCGCGGTAACTGCAGTTTTGACATATATTCAAAACAGTAGTTGATAAATCTCTGAATTAAATCTTCTCCTAGGCATTCAACAATATTCTTTGGGATCAATTAAAAATAAATTTAAACTCGTACAGAGCGATGTGCCTCTTCCCCAAATTTATGGACAACCAAACCGTTTTCGGAGAAGACGAAATCAATCTTTTCCAAAACTGCAATCACAATAATGAAATAGGCCCAGTACACAAACCAGAGTAGCAGCCAAACTGAGCAGCAATTTTGTCATAATCGGAACCGCTAACAATTGCAATCGGGACACGAGATTTTAATCGTAAAAGTTGTTCTAACATCTCAGGTCGGATTTCGCTTCGGGCTTTCGTTAGTGTCCCATCAAGATCGAAGAGAACAATAGTACTGGGCGACATCGCGGTACAAAGCTAAAAAAATAAAAAGAGACTTGATAGAGGTTTATTGGTTCATTGGTGTGTAGAGAGCAGGAGGGAAGACCCTTGTCAGCTCCGTCGGTTCCGATTTAGTGCAGATTTGACGCAACTGGCTGAGAAACGGCATTCCTCTGTGGATCGTCGCCGTTGCAGTAGGAGCAGCAGAACCTTGCCGTACTCATCAGATGGCAGTTAAGCAGCCGTTTGAAACTTTCCTGTCAGTGCGGCAGCAATGATCTCAAGTAGGCTGTTCCAACTATTCACTACACAAATTGATAGCGCAGCCTCTGGACGGACGTGAAATATTCGGCTCTTGTACAACTTTCACTTGTGGCCTCGTGTCGAGCTGTCCACGTTGGGCCGAAAGTGCTTTTGTACCTTACTCCCAAGTTCTCTTCTTAGAATCCGTCTGATGTAGATGAGATCTTCAAGGCGCCGACGATAATCCATTGGGAATATGTACAGAATTCGGAGTCGAAGAGGGTAAGCAACGTATCGAAGTTTCATGACAGATTTCGAGCCACGCCTTCGAACTCTTTCTAGCAAGTCGCATACGAATTTCAAGAGGATAGGTAGCAGGGACCTCATACTCCAATATCGGGCGGAGATGTGGTGTCAACAGACTTCTGAAAATTGCCGGAATGATACGGCAGTACGACCTGGGTAGAGCACCCAGCATCTTGTTTGCGGCCGCGACCTTTCTCAAGGTGTCTTGTGAAGCTCTCAGGTCATGTGACACGATAAGCCCTAGATTCTTCTCGTGCGCGACATTCTTGGGAAGATGTTTGCCAATGTGGTGTACACAGAATGAATCCGGGTTACCAATCGGAAGAACAGCACATTTGTCATAGTTAATGGGTAGTTGGCACTTGACGGACCAATCGTGCAGTTGGTTCAGCGACGTTTGGAGTTTGTCCGCGTCCTTGAGACTAGGTACTTCTGACCATAGCTTGAGATCATCAGCATAGACTAAGCAGTCGGCTTGAAGAGCTGCAGGGAGGTCATTAATGTAGAGTTTGAAAAGTTCCGGCCAAGAACAGAGCCTTGTGGGACTCCGCTAGACATAGATACAGAGCCAGACAGCGTGTAGTCAATCTACACTTGAAGAGTTCGATCTCTCAAGGAGTCCGTAACCCATGTAAGGACGTGTCCAGTGACGCCAATTCCCTGGAGTTTGAGCAGAAGTCGTTTGCGTAGGACTTTGTCAAAGGTCTTGCTGAAGTCAATGTAGATAACCTCTGGGCGTCTTCGGTCGTCTACTGCTTTGACCCATGCTTCTCTGACAACAAACAGGTTAGAGATGCAGGTGCAAGCCCTGCAGAATCCGTGCTGAGCGGGGGAGATGGCGCACAAGCTTTCGCAGTGGGTGTGGAGGGCGCACTTGACTATCCGTTCCATGACCTTACAGATCCCAGAGGTCAGGCATATCAGTCTATAGTTTGCAGACTGCGCCGGTTCCCTCCTTTGTACTTGGGCATTACAATCCCTAGTTTCCAGTCAGGTGGGAGGTGCCCGTCTGCAAGAGAACGCCGGAAAGCCTGATGTATCGGATCAGCAATGTATTCTGCTACCGTCTTGGGGAATAGCGGGTGAAGTCCATAGGGGCCCGGTGAGGAGTTAGGGTTCATTTCAACGAGTAGTCACTTGACTATCTCGAAATTGATTTCGACTTGCTCGAGAGGAAGATAATGCGTTGCCAGATCGTCAACGGATAGTGACGGTTCCACGGAGTAGATCGAAGAGTACTGCGAGGCTAGTAGTTGAGCCTTCTCGTCATCTTTGTAAAGCACTGTGTCCTCCTCCTGGCAGGATAGAGCAGGAATACCACTGCCAGCATTGGTGTTTCGCTTCAGATAAGAGAACAGCTACTTTGGGCAGGTTCGTGATTGCATGACTAGGCTGTGTTCGTATTGTGATCGTTTTTAGCGCTTTCTTAGAGTGCACAGATTTCTGATGATTTTGTATTTCGAGCAATCTAACGTTACCTGTGTTGACTTGAATATGTCCCACAGTTTGCGTCGTCTGTTCATCAGGGATCTCACCTCTCGGTCGATGCAGGGGGGACGTTTGGGGAAAGGCCTGCCCTTGGTGATAGGAATAACTTTTTCCACGACCGACATCAGCTTCGAGCGTTCCATGCCTCGTCAAGGTTCAGGGATTGCGGAATGGTCCAATCTATGGTGCTTAATAATAATAAATGTGTCAGCTGTACGCCGTAACGGCACTTCGCTGCCGCGCGACCACCACCAGTCGCGCGCGGGCTGAGTATACCGCGAGGACGCCCACTCCTACGTGGTGCTTGTCACTTCTTGCAATCTGGATGGGACAACACGCCAGTAGTTGCGACGTTGTGTCCCCTAATCGTGGATGGCAAGGCGGCATGCCCAAAATGAGATTGTAGTGTGGTCACTTCGGCCGAGTTGTTGGAGAATCTTAAGGCTATGGACATCAGAAAACGTTGGTGTGAGGACGAGATCCAGTATGTTTGGTGTTTGACCCGGTACCATCCGTGTTGGTGCTGAGATGTGCTGGATCAGATTGCATTCGTGAACAGCGTCGAAAGCCAGCCTCGAAGGAATATTGCTAAAAATCACAGTGAAGAAGGTTCCAGCCGACACTGGGTGCATTGAAGTCGCACATTAGCAGACAGTTGCTTCCTCGACCATTGGTTTTACCGACTGTAACAGCCGGACGCCTGAGCTCAGTGATGCTCTGTAAGCCACATCGACTGTGTGCAGCTGAGAAGAATCTCGTCGAGCATATTTTTAAGGCTGTGTACATTAGCAAATATCGCTACTAATAAGCTAATTGGACATGGGGATGGGTAGCAGAAGGATTGGCTTCCAGTGAGCACTCTGGGTTGTCTGAACGCGAAAATCCACAATGTGGAGATCAGTCTCGCCGTTCGCTCTGCGGGTTCGAAGTTCGTCGACGGCTTGTCTCATTCTGATTCTATCTTCTGGGGAAAGGTCTTTCAGGACAAAGAAGACTTTTCCTTTGAGACGCGAGGTACGCCTGAGGATGCGGTGACACTCATCTTCATCTTGACAGACAACTTTTAGCAGGCGAGTCTTGGATGGATCATCCTGCTTTCGACTTAGACGGAATGCAGAGACGATGTTGAGACCCTGCTTGCCTTTATCCAATAGGATGGACACCATTCGCTTCAAGAAAGCTTGGTCGTCAAGACTCCTTTCCGCCGATGATTCGTTGTCGGATGCAGGAGCATTCGTAATTAGTAAGTATCGCTCACGAGGTGCTTTGTTTCCTACTGAAACCTGGCTTTTGTGGGACTGGCTTTTCCTTAGTGAGTCGTTTAAGTTGTGTAATTTTGTCAGCAATGAAGTCCAGTTGGGTCGGATCAAATTTTGTGTTAGGACTTGAAACTGCTTTTTTCGTCTGGCTTTTGATCTGGTTCATCGCTGATGTTTCTGCCCGCCACGGCCGCATAGGTCCTCGCCATTATTTTTGGCTTAGCTGCATCCAACTGATCTTTGCAGACACTACCCTGCATTAGTAGTGCACCAGCTGAGGAAGAGGAGGGCAGCCGGCTTCGACTTTGAGCTGGATTGCCAGGACCGACGGGCAACGGTGTTTCTGTCAACGTAGTGGAGGAGGGACGGCTTCTTTTCCCCTAGGGCGTAGAGTAGCCAGACCCGGGCAAGCACACAGATGAAACAGGTGTTTCGCAATCAGTTAGACAAAGTTTGTGAAGGAGCAGAATCCACTGAGGGGGTGTAAGCTCATCAGAAGCTTATTGTCGCTAACCACTGCTAGACACAGGTGGAAGTGAAAGCTTAGGTCTTTGGGGACAGTTTGCTGAAGACAGTGATAGAGATCTTGACCAATGTTACAGCACCTTATGCGCATCCAACTCTCGCAGAGGGCGCAGTGGATTGCGTGTGACCGGGAGGTGACACCTTTGCCACAGTCCACGCACTCCGGAGAAAAAGTTGACAATAGTCAGATTTTGTTGCAGGTGTTTACTGGAACACTTCTCCTTACAATATATGAGAAGAGTTTGACAAAAAGTCAAATTCTGTTGCCTAGTTATTCAAACAACGTGTTCAACAATAATTCGGCCTAGAAATCGAATCAGTAGGGCACGTTAAAAAACGAATACCGCTCATATAGGTTCAAATGACCACTACATAAAATTTTGAGAGCAACTATTTAGGTCAATACAATCGTGATCCATGGATTCAACGGTTACACTGGAAACACAGTAGGTTCTCCCTGTGGTCAGGCCGCAAGTCCGATGGCTGCGCACGCAGTAAAAACCCGCTGTCTCGTATCTGTTTTGGACACAGGGAACCAGGGTAACCTGGCGGACGATGCAACGTAAAATGATCCTTTAGGTTGGAAGGATAACTTGGTTTGCTTGTTAGCGTGTTGGCACTTGATGATCGGTTAGTCAAAGAAGAGACTGGGGTGACGAGAAAAAGAATGGATAGGAACGCTGGTGACAGAGTATTCCGAGAGTGATAATCGCAGCCACTGGAGCTGAAGCAAGAATCCCAAAGTAGTGTGATAAGTAGTTTGCTTGGGAGCTTCGACTAGAACTTTCACCTCAACAGCACGATCCACAAGGCATGGGAAAAACGTTTGGTTAAAGAGTATAGTTGCAGGACTCCACTAAGACCTACTTAAGGTAATATGAGACTTCAGATGGTTGCACAAGACGCGTAATCTGAAGCCGGATTAAGCTTCCTCCGTCTTGCCGGAACACGGTAAGGTAAAAACCTTGGAAGAGGATTCAAAGAAGTTCAAGTATAGGTGGGACTGGAAAGATAGGATGATTTCCATAAGCGTTAATTCTTGAAAGGGTCATTGACCCAGGAGTTGATAGGTGCTTCTTGATGGATCTAAAACGAAAACACCCGAATCACACCCTGATCCAGCAATATAATGCCCACGTTCTCCGCAGTAACAGTCCCTGCTATGTCAGATACGCGAAGTAAGCAAGAGAGGAAGAGAAATCGAAGACAAAGGGTA